GCATCGGACCTTGACAGTATTCGCCGATCACCGCGCGAGCGGCCAGATGCGATCCCGACCATCGTCCCCTTCCCCCATCCCCAATGAACCACGCTGATCTTCTCGCTCCTCTCTCTATCTTTGGTCTTCCCTCTCTTTTCCCCACCTTCTGGCAGTCTGATCTTCATCCTTATCTTTCCTTCTCGTTCGAGCCTCTTTCGGTCTCTCTTATCAATCCTGGACATTGGCGACTGTGGCGCGAAACTTTTGAGGAGTTGTYCTTCTGCTTGGCCAGGGTACAGGTGACATGGACGGGCACYAGCGAGCATCCCGCGTGGATCGAGAATCCGGAKCTGCTGATCATACAGGCTTGGAGGACTAACGTGGAAGGAGATCTTATTGGCTTTCTCTTCGAATCGGTACAGCCAGGTCGACGCCACCTGATTGCGCAGGAGCTCTTCGCCCCGATCGTGTAATTGGCGGACGATCTCTCGCCCGACATCTATTTTCAGAGTGACGACAGTCCTGCTCCGTACATTTTCGAGCGATCATTGGATCCGTACCTTCAGTGGACTGCGTGCTTGGAGGAACCTAGGGACGAGGACACACTACCATCGCGGCAGGAGTATCTGAAGCCGTACGAGATCATCCCTCACACCTTCTATCCGAGGCCAGAGGAAGTAGTGATCGACGACGACGACGAGGAAACATCGGAGGAGGGGAGCTATAGTGAACATAGCGAGGGCGAGCTCAGTGAGGAGGGAGAGGAAGAAGAAGGGACTGGGTCCGAGTGGGAAGCCRTGCCGGAGGAAGCAACGCGCACGGGAACGGAGGCGGAAGATCCGGAAGCGGCGTGAAAGCGCGAAGAAATTGCCACCTGGAAGCGCCAGCTGGAGTTCACCAGCGAAGCTAGCCTGCGCGTCGGTAGCGATCCGACCAGGGATCCAAAACCGCCGAAGCCCGAAGATGGCGACCTTGCAGCCGCCACCTCAAGTACCGCGCGACAGAGACGGAGCGGATCCCCCTCCTCCTCCAGCCCCACCCGTCCCCCAGTTCGCCCACGTACCAATGCGGGCGATAGGCCTTCGTCCTCGGACGCTGTCCCGCCGACCCCTTGATTTCCTCACCCTTGAGCAGATCCGTACCCCCATCACCTTCCCTTCCCATCCCTTCCATCCCCATCTCTTCCGCGACTTCTATTCTACCCGTCTACTCGCCACCGTCCACCCCCACGCCTCCCTTCAATCCGCTGCCCCCACGTTCTGCTGGCATCTCCTACTGTTCAGCGCTGCATGGGAGCGATGCAACATGGTAGAAGTTTACTACGTCGCCACGGGGACAATCCCCGCTTGCCGCCACTTCGAGATCTTTCGAACGGCGCTCTTCCGCACCCTCTCCTCCTTTTATCGCAACTACCTCGCTTCCCTTCCCCGGCGATCATTTCCCCCGCTTCCACCGGATCATCCGATATGAGGAGCTCCCAATGATGATGGAAGGGATGAATTGCTTCCTACCCCCACATCCTCCTCGCCATCCCCGTGAGATCCCCCCCATGTACCGCCTCTATTGGTCTATTCCAACTAGGCGGTAGATCAGATTCACATGACCCCCCCCCCCTTTTTCTCTTCTTTTCATCGGCACGAATCATTAAGCTTCGCGAAGATCAAGCCATCGACGATGACGTCAACCTACGCTCTGATTCGACGGACAACAACGAGCTGGGGTGCAGAGCACACGGAGATCAGGTGGACCATGATGGCGTCACGTGGACGATCTCGGCAGTGCGAAGGGCAGGGGGTTGCATATGACAGGGCTGCAGAGATCTTGCCACGGATGTTGTCGCCATCTCATCCGCGGCTCAAGTTATCGTTCCTTGTACTTCTGAAGCTCTGTTGATCTGATTGGTTCCTCATGCATCACTCTGTTTTTTCCTTCTCTTTCTCCCCCTCTGCCATGACATGCAATCAGGAGATCGCATAATTTTGGAACCCCTTGCGCGTCACATATGTGACGAACCACTTCCCAAACCCGTGCCATGTTTCGTACCCTTTCTTTTGCTTGTATCATACCAACCCCAGGAAAACCCCGTTTTGATTTCTGGTTTTCGGGCGCCGCATTTTCCTTTTTTTTTTAGAGTTTTTTCGACTTCTGGGTTCTGGCTTTCTTTTTGCAAAGTCGGGGAATACAAGGGAATTTACGTGCGCCTTAGCGAGCGCACTGGGAATTGGGCTCAGCGGTTGGGAATTCCGGGATAAGCGGAACTTCGACGTGTTATTTTCGAGTGTGTGAATGTTCTTGGTCGCGTCGGGGAAAACTTTCGAAATTCGTCCGGATAC